GTTTCGAATTTTCATTTTCGGTAAAAATTGCATATCAATTTCTTCACCTCCTTCTTGTGCTCAAGTTGGCTGCTTTTTGACAATCAGCGAGTGAAATCTTGTGAAGGACGTCAAAACCAATGTTTGGCGAAAATCTTGGCTCAAGACAATGCCCGTATTGGAGAGATATGGCCCTTTGACTTTTTACTATTTTTGGAAACTGTATTCTCATAAATTTAGACAATTTATCACTAAAATTTAACCCCCTTTCCAGCACATGATCGTAGATTGCCGCATATGAATGTGTTCATCTTTAAGTTGGGAAACTCCTTGTAAACTTTTGGCCTGAATTACTTAACGAATTGTGAAATATCGCTCCAAGATTTAGCAAAGGTTATGGGGACTTATACATATTTCACTTGTTGTGAACCCCCAATTTTTGGCCCAATTTGACCTCAATCCGAGCAGAATAACCCATCATCTATATATGTATGAAAAACTCATGTAGCAAGGAGTAACATATTGAAATTTTGGCTCATTTGGCTACATGAATTGGGATATATGGCCCCCAAATTTTTGCCAAAAAAATTTGTGGCGCTTGTTGTGATTCTCATGAAGATGATGAAGCATTTTCACAATATGGTTTCTTTTCTTTCCTTAGTGGTCCTCATGTGGTTTGCAAGGATGACGCCAGAAATGCACTTCCTTATTCAAAATTGGCTGAAATTTTTACCGAAGCCTTTTCTCATCATCACCTTTCTCTCTTAGATATTCGAAGTTTACTAGTCACTAATTTCTTGGATTCTTTTGTAAAATTGGTCCAATTTGGTGGACCAAGCCTGCGGTTTAAGGTGTTCAAGGGGCCATATCTCTTTCATTTGATATCGAGTTGGGCTCAATTTAGATTGTAGCCTTGTTATATTGATACCTTTTATCAAGATTTTAAAAATTGGCAATCCGGATTGGAGTTGCCCTTTCCAAATCGAAAATCCAGGGAACCATTGCGGTTCTCGTAATATATTGGGAACCGGCTAGTTCTTTCTACGAACCGGCCGATTCACTGACAAATAGGCCAATATGTTAGAGAACCGGCTACTGAATCGGCCAATATGTCAGAGAACCGGCTACTGAATCGGCCAATCAGCCATTGAATCGGCCAATATGATAGAGAACCGGCTATTGAATCGGCCAATCGGCCAATATGTCAGAGAACCTGCTACTTCTATTAGTAAAGAACCGACCGATTCAAAGTCAACCGGGCCATTTATTTATTTTTTACTTGGTTCCACTACGCTAGTGCATAGTATGCCTTTGGTCATGCGGACTCACCACTTTACAAGCTTTTCAGACCAAGAAGTTATTGCGGGACTCTCAATAAAGTGCTTTGGGTCCTTCTTCATCATTTTTTCCCAGATGTGGGATTTATGCAATACGACTCATTTTTAAAGCGCACTAGCCTCTCCTTTCCTTCCCACATTTTCGATTTGGGATTAAATGTTTGCCCCCTTTCCTCAACGTCTCTGTCTCTTCCCTCAATTCCATAAATAAACCATGGGATGTTTAAAAAAAACTGTGCCTTCTACCTATGCAGCATGAGAATAAGTAAATTATATAAAAATCAAAGTAGAATAAGTTGGGAAATATATTATCATTTCCCAAATTGGTTTTATTTAAATGAAGAAAAAAAATGAACCCTTAACGAAATGGAAGCTATGAGATAGAAAGACTGGTCCAATATGTCTGTGAGAGAGAGATGCCCATTATCTTTGTGTTAGATAGGGAGATCCAATATGTTTGTATATTTGTATGTGTATGTATGTGAGAGAGAGAGAGAGAGAGAGATGTCCAATGTGCTTTTTGTGTGCATGTGAGAGGAAAAGTTCTGATGCGTGTGAGAGAAAAATTATACACAAAGATGACAAGTAGTATCACAAAATTAGTACAAAAAATTAGAAAAATCATTTTCTTCACTGTAAATTACAAAATGAGTATTAAATTTTTTGTAAAAGCATTGTATCAAAATTAGTATAAATAAAATAGTAGTAAAATTAGTAGACACTCAAAAATGACGTCTCAATTTCATGTTTTTTCCAAAATACTAAAAATATATAATGCACTACCCCCGTTTTTTTGAAAACTCAAAAAACAATATTTTTAGTGATTTTTTGAAAACCTTTTAGCTTGGATCCAGCCAATTCTCTAGTCCGGACCACATATCCACTGGTCCGAATCGGTTTTTTAGGTGGACGATCCGGGTCACCAATCCATTTTTAAAAACCTTGCCTTTCATCCATAAAGTTCTTGGGCTATTTAGATTTGGATATCTTAAGGAGTCTTTGTAAATTGGCCTTAGATCAATGTTGTGAAATAGATGGTTGAGCGTTGCCAGCTATATCTTGATCATCCAACCTCAGATTGACCTGATTTTTGGAGGTAACCTCAGGGTTCCTTGGATTAAAGATTGAACGGTCAGACAATCATTTTGGGCTGACCGTGCCTCCTTCTGCACCCTTTTCGATTGTTGATTTGGGCATGATCGGGTTGGACTCTTTCTCGTTTTTTCACAGGGAGCTTTCTATCATCATATTAAGGGGTTTTTCATCTGAGGATTTATTATGAGGCTACCTTTTACCTACTGTAGCCATTTTTTATGGTCTCTGCAGTATTCCGGTAGTTATCGTGCCGGGAATTTATTTGGCTAGACATCGTGACTTTTTGAGTCCGGTGTTATTATATTTGCGACAAAATACACCCAAACACCATGTCCAATGGTGTTTTGTGGAAAAGTAAAAAGAATCCAAAAAATACGTACCCGACATTCCAGAATCACAAAAAGTGTGATCTCAAATCTGGTGGCTGGAGATGTTTCTTTCCTCACTCGCACATGAAGAAGCCTAAAATACTCCTCAGATCCTTCCCCCAGAACTTTGTAATGATTGTATTTTGGATGAAGGAGATCTTGGGATAGACATTCTTTTCCGGAATGAAACTTTAACCAAAAAATCCAAAGAAGGAGATCTAGGGATAGACATATTCTTTTCCAGAATGAAACTTTAACCAAAAAATTTAGAGGAGATCTAGGGCTAGACATATTCTTTTCCGGAATGAAACTTTAACCAAAAAATCTATAGATTCACTGATTCTGTGCTTGCTTTGGGCTTCCAGAGGTTTTATAATAGCAAAGAGCGTCTAATCCTTCCTAGCCCCACCCTCTAAATATGAAAGAAATTACCAGAAATAGAGACCTTATTTTTGGTTTACTAAAACAATTTATTATCGACAAAAGAGTGTGGCCTAGTCGAGTCTATATAGGCTCGCAAGATACTTGGGACTCATCCAACTCTGTGCACTAGTATCACTGAATATATTAAAAGACTCAGGTCTTTTAGAATAATGTCCTCTGAGTTTACAAAAATAAATATTAGGACTTGCCCTAGCTTGGTGGACTTGGGCGTTCAAAGTCTTAAATTGGAGTTTTAAAACACTGGCGCATTGACCGACAACATACGTAAATGTAGCACTAGTTAAGCTGCTTTAGGAAATTTTGGATGTAATATCGAGGCCTCGAGTGCTTGTAAACACAATGTAACCTATAAACCACACAATCTGGGTGATATGAGATTTTCTTGAACCAAATCTATTCGTGGTTCTTAAGCTTAATTGTGGTTTGGCTTGGGGACTTTAGAGTTTTTTTGTGAACTGCATCAAGATTTGTTTCTTAGGCTGAATTATGTGTCAATGTGGATTTCAAATGAAACTGAGGTCCCTCTATTAATAACAAATGAAGAAACTATAAGGAGAAGATAATATATGTGGATCATAGTTGTTGGGATCGGGATCGGGATTGGGATCAGGAATAGGAACGGTACCGGGATAGGGATCTGGATTGGGAGCGAGGGATCGTGAAATGTTGGAAGATCTCTATGGTTGGGAACGTCATCCGTACAATGCACATGTTAGGAATTGAGATTGCCAAATGTTAGGGATTGAGATTCCAACCTTTTGGGGATCTTGATCCCAACCTTTTGGGATCTTGATCCCAACTTTTTGGGGATCTTGTTACCAACCTTAAAGTATATGATAATCTACGATTATGTGTACTCTTTAAAGCAAGGATCTTATTGTTGATAGCGAGCAAGCAATAGTTGTGTTGCTAGTTGGTTATAAACAAAGAAAATCATCAATTTGGTTATTGTCTTGGTCTTTAAGGTTGGGATCGAGATCTCTAAAGCAGGAATCGGGATCCCTATAAGGGGTTCGAGATCCCAAAATTTTAAAATCAAGATCCTTGAGTGATCTGTTCCCGGAGCGACTGAATTGAGATCCTATAAAGGATCGCCTACCAAAGTAGGAGATCCTGGTAACTATGATGTGGATGACTCAAATATAATTTGTAAGCATGGAATCTGTCAATGATAAAATTACCATCAAAATAAATAAATATTTATGAGTAATACATTTGTATTTTGTAAGATTTATAGAATTCTGGCTTTAAGAATTTCTAGAGTGAAGCTCTTTCTATACATACTCTAAATTGTCTCTGAACTAAAAGTTCTTGTAATGCTTCCCTAACGAGAACTTGATTATTGTTATTTTATTTACTTTTCTCTTAAGTTTGTGTTATCTATACGATTTTTATATGTAATCGCGTCTTTCCAACATGAGTGTGTAAATGTTAAGGAGTAGCATGTTTATCTTTCTTATTTTTTCTTGTGTATGTCATATTCCTTTACAAGGGTCTAGGAAAGTAGAAATCACTGTATGTTCTCTTACATTGCTTTATATACTTTTCAAGGTAGGTGACTTATATGATCTTGATTGACGAGTTGACTAATTTTGGCACGGCTGGATCAGCCTGGGATTTTAGGAAGTAGTCTAGGTTGGTGGGAAATCTCTTCCAACCCAAGCTGTTCCTGTTTCATGATTTTCCTTATCCCTTGCATTATTGATTCTTTCAATTGAATTTTAAAGTAGGAGATGCTTGGCAAGCAGATGTGTGATTAGATCTTGTTCAACTGCAGAGACCACATTAAAGCTGGAAGCTCTTGTCGGTGATCTTGAAGATTCTGTGGTCTCCATTATGAATATTAACCCAAGGAAGGGTAACCCCATGATAATGGGAAGTGCCCCTAACCAATATGTGAGGACAAATAGAAATCCTTGTTGGTTGCATAGTGATATTAATGATAACAAATTAACAATATATACTTGGGTTTGAGTTGTTTGAGGTTAAGTCATTGAAATTAACTGACAATAACTAAGGAAGTGTTGTGTATTACCCTTTGCAGCTTAGACCATAAATTGTTGTAAAACTCCTTACATTCTCACATATTAGAATTATGTAAAGGATTTTTTTTTCCTAGTTTATACTTTATACTTAAGAAACTATTCTAGACTTTTTAGTACTGCTTCAAAGAAGAGGAGATGTTGTAAGCCTTACTGTGATGAAAAGCAAGAACTCTCATTTCATCCCACAAGAAGAAAGAGGAAACGAAGATCTAGAACTTCTACCAGGTGTACGCATCCAATAGTGCATGATTTGCTACATCATCCACCAGTTTTTTGTTCATTTCTTTTCGAGAACTTAATTTAATTGGTGAAGAAAAGCTGCTGGACAGAAGAAATAATTAGTGCGCAATATTTAAGAAAATATTTCATAATTGCTACTATAGTTTGTTTCATGGAACTATACTAGTAATTTTATACTTTCGGACTGTCCAAATGCAGGAAGTTGAAACCAAGCAGCAGAAACTTGTCATGGCTATTAACTCCATAAACCTTATAGAGGACATGTTAACCAATCTTGTAAAGTCTCAGCCACAATGGTCTCGCCTGCTAAAAGCTGTTGACTCCAGAGTAGAGCAATCCTTGGCCATTCTCAGGCCTCAGGCCATTGCTGATTATCGAGCTCTCTTGACATGCATTGGATGGCCACCTCCCCTTTCAGTGAAAAATCTTGATCAAGGAGAGAAAAACCCACTAATTGTTATGCATGGATCGATTAAAGAGAACTATTCTCAGAGTGTGCTTTCTCTCTGTACCCTACAGCACTCACACATTTTGAGGCGAGCCCGGATTTGTAGCCAACTAAGACATAATAAGGAGAACCGATTGCTAGATTTGGGTGCTGTGCAAAAACCCAATCCAAATGAGTTGTTATGGACAATTGAGGAGCTTGTTTCTCCTATATATTCTAGGATGGAACCTCATATTGCAAAATGGGCTGATAAACCAGAGTTTATTTTTGCTCTCGTGTATAAAGTAACATGGGATCTCGTGGATGGAGTTGACTATGTCTTACAACCCTTGATAGACAGGGCGAGACTTTCAGGTTACAGTGCAAGGGAGGAATGGGTCTCTGGTATGGTTGCTGGGCTTTCTCTCATTCTCTCTAAACAAATTTTTTCTATCCTGGCTAATAGATATAGAGATGGGGATCGAGAGGTGAAATCCTTGTGGCTTCACTTGGTGGATTTGGTTCTCTCTTTCGATAAGCGGATGCAAGAACTTGTAAGCTCAGACCTCTCACTTCCAATTGCCAAAATTGCACACACTGATGCAAGCTTGTTGAGCCCTAGGAGTGCAGTGATACACATATTTTGTGATCAGCCTGAGTGGTTTGTAATTTGGACCGAGATAGAGCTTGAGGATGCTGAAGAGAAGCTTAAGACTCAACTAGAAAAGGACACTGCATGGATAGTTGATAAAGGATCAAAATTTGAATCAGAATCACCCCAAAGCCAAATTCCTGAGTCTTTCCTTCTCTCTACCATTGAGGACTATAGAGCTCCTCCAATTGCAGACTCTACGATTAAACTAGTGTTCTCTCTCATTGAGAGATGTCGTTCTTTGCCCAATGTCTTATTTCAGATTCAGTTCATCAAACTAACTACATCTCCTATTTTACATTGGTTTCTTGATTTATTGATATGGCAGTGTCAAGAAATTGACCTCTCAGCCTCTTTAGGTGATGATGCTGTGATCTCTACGATCATGAATTGCATAAATGCAGCAGGGTATTGTGTATCTGTTCTTCGAGAGTGGAGTGAGAAGCTGACCTTCTTAGAAATGAGATCCACAGAGGAAGAAATCCAGAATCAGATAGACAAAGCACTACCAGAGACCCCAACCTACTTCTTTGATGAAGAAATTGAAAAATTGGGGAAATTTCAAACTGAATGGCTCTCGGAAATAATGGCAAATTTCTTGCGAGAATTTGATAATTATTCACATGACTATGTGAAAAACAAGAAGCAATGGCAAGAAACAGGAGGTGAAGCTTTTGATACAGTTGATGGGTCTTCTGGTTTTGCTGTCCTGTCCATTTCTACTGAATTCATTGCAGTTTTGGATAATTTACAAGGAAGGATTCGAAACCTGAACATAGGATTGAATGCTAAGGATTTCTCAGATCTCTGGCGAAGCATAGCAGGTGGATTAGACAGGTTTATATTTAAGAGTCTATGTTTGGGTGGCACAAAGTTTTTGGATCGAAGGACCAAGCAGTTTGCGATTGATATGAAAGCACTTTTTAGTGTGTTCAAGCCTTTTTGTGTCAGACCAGAAGCATTTTTTCCTTTCATAAGTGATTCATTGAAGCTGCTGGCCATGTCCCATGAAGAAGCAAAGCATTTAGGTATGATTTTGGGTGCCTTGAATAGTTCTGTTGACAAGAGAAAACTGGAATTGCTAAGGCATGGAATCCACCATATATCACCCCGCAAAGCTCTGAAAATACTCAGGAATCACATATATTGATTTTCAATTTTAGATGGTATGGTTTTTCTGTTGAAGTGTGTTTTTGAGGTGTATTGTTTGTTAGATTTGTGCTTATGATGAATGTTCAGTAAAACCAGACGGAAGTAAAAACTAGGTTGGGCTAGGTTGGGCTCTCTCTCTCTCTCTCTCTCCTCTCGCAAGTTTATATTTTGCCGAATTTTGACTGATGGACACCAGACATGGAGCTGTACTAGTTCTCGTACACAATTGTTTTGTAGGTGTTATTCTATTTCTGTTTGTAAAAGCATTTTGATTTTAATGTGGTTCATGATTTTAGGGTAATTGGATTTAGAGTATTTCATTTTGGTTCACATGAATTTAGATTATTTTGATGGGCCTCTTGATTTCAGCGTCATTGGGTTTATTACAGTATTTCCTCTTGTGACAAGATGCACTTCCTTCACTAAGAAATAAACAGATGAAATAAAGAAATAAACGAAGCTCCTGATATCAACTTTTAATCTGATGTAAGAGTATCAAATGAGTCGAGATGGAAAAATGTAGAGAGAGAACCCAAAATGCAAGTCTCAGGAAAGCGATCCCAGAGCTGTCTAACTTCACGGATACGTGTCTGTAATTTCTCGCACGTGTCACTACATTAAATTAAGATGCTAGTATTTGACAAAATTAAGATGCTAGTATTTGACACTTAAAACGAAGACACCATTTGAAATCTTTGTTGGGAAATTTATCGATTATCTATAAGAGATCAATTATTAATAGGGATTGTATGCAATAAGACTATTTACTTTGATATAGGGAGGTTACAATATATTTTATGTACTACTATTCAACATGAAATCATGTGTTTTTTATCGGTGTTTTGGAGTTACATATAAACAAATAGACGATGTGTTAAATTGGTCATATCTTACAGGTAATTTGATAAATTTCCAAAAAAAAGTCCTCATTCATCCAAAATCCCTCTCTCCCTTCTTTAAATAGCTTGAAGAAAATTAGCACTTTGGACACTTGGATTTATGTTGAATGCTAACACACCTCGTGGTGTCTATAGGTTGAGAGTTGAGAAAAAAAATTTCATCAATCTTTTAAGGACTTAAAATGTGTTAATGGCATGTTTTATTCACGGGAAATTTCTCTTCGAGAATGAAATTTCCATTGATCAAGCTGCTTTCATGTTTGTTTATGAGAAAACGGAGGAAATTCTTCCTGCTGTACATATTAATACACTTTTATAGGAAGGGGCTTCATACTCTCCTAGGTGTCAAGCCAATTTCTCGAAAACTTCAGAGAGATTTTCGTGAAAACAAACGTTCTCTTATGAGTCTTAAACGTAGAGAAGGTATCTTGACTATATTTTAATTCAGGGAAATAAATTTAGATTTCCTTTTTTAGAGATATTTAAAAGGATTCTGAAAATTTTCAAATTTTATGTCGATGTCTCTTTTTTGTCCATCTAGTTTACTTTTCCCAAAATTCTCATTAATTTTGTGGCCTTCAATTCTAAACTTTCTGCCAACCTGGAATGCAAATGCTCTTATGTCTACAGCTGGGCTTTTGCCATAGTTGTGAGTGCTTTGATGTGTAGCCAGTCTAAACGAGAAGATGCATAGCATCGTAGCTTTCGACAACAATTACTTTGACATTGCTACTATTGGCTTTGCTCGTTGCTTGCCTTGCCATTGATCATTTACATTTGTCCCCCACCAAAGCCAGTCTTGAATTGGAGCCTCAAAACTCCCATGCCTTTTTTAGTCAGACTAACTTGATTTCTGCTCCTTGGCTCGCTCAATGATTACGTTGTCACTGGCAAGAACAAGTACTAAACATATTCATGTCTTTGATAAATTTTGGTACTAAAAGGACACCAAATTTATTCTTGGGAAAATTATAAAAAAACCCCCAAAATCTATTTAACCCCTAACTAACTTTTGGTCTGAACTTTTTCCAAAGAACAAACTTTTATGCAAATACCCCTCAAGAAAAAAAGTTCATTTTTCTAGACGAAAATGCACTTCTCGTAGCATGTTGCCGGAGCGCTTTTAAACAGCGCCGGAGCCCTGTCACAAGGGCTCCAGCACTGTGTAAGAGCGGTCCAGCAGTGTAACGCTGCGTTTCGGCAGAGCGTAAGTGCGCTCCGACAGTGTAACACAGTGCTCCGGCACTACATAAGTGCGCTCCGGCAGTGGAGCATTTTGAGTCACAGGGCTTCGGCACTGTTTAAGTGCGTTCCGGCACTGCGTAAGTACGCTCCGGCAATGTAACACAGGGCTCCGGCACTGCGTATGTACGCTCCGATAGTGGAGTATTCTGAGTCACGTAGCTCCAGCACTGTTTAAGTGCGCTCCGGCAGTGTGCTACGGGAAGGGCATTTTCGTCTAGAAACTTCCTTAGGTGGTATTTGCATAAAAAGTTTATTTTTATAAAAGTTGAGACCAAAAGTTTGCGTTGGGGGGGGGGGGGGGGGGGGGGTGGTAAGTCGCATAAAAAGTACGTCTTAGGGTTTTTTTTATAATTTTTCCTTTATTCTTTTAAATGTTATTGTCCACAAGAAACCTACTTTACACAGTTCAGAACTAGAAGTCTAAAGAAAACTTTGGAAAAACTAAAATAGACAAAGAAGAATAGGGCCTCAAAGTAAAATTAAAAGAAATTGGGACATTTTTTGTTTATCCTTAAAAAAAAGATAATTATATTAAATTTCCCTTAAATTTGTGGTAAATAAGAAGGGTTTTACATGCCGAGAGAACATACTCATGTATATTATTCTCCTGGAGGAGCGCAGTGTAGATCGACTTCGTCAAGACCTATTTGGGAGGATTTTTTAAAAAAATTTGGGAACCACTTAAGATTGCTAGACGATTATTTTCAAATGAAAATTTTTAAAATTTTGAGTCTTCCGATACTTATATCTCACCCTCTAAAAACTAGAAGGTCTCTATTTAATTTTAAGACTTTTTTTTCCGAAGGGTATAGAAAGTGCAATTAGAAAAAATTTTATCCAAGAAGTCCATGGCAGGAAAGGTTACCTCCCAAAATTTGGGGTCTTAAAGTTCATCCGATGGACCGGGGTCCTGGTCCAGGTAAAAAATGGATCCAGCTGGTCGGGTCCAAATATTGAACCCGAACACTATTCAGGTCCTGGTCCGGGTCCATGTGGACCTGACCCGAATTTTGCTATTACAAAGGACATGGTTTCTATGCCCACTATTGTAAAATGCAGCTTGGCAATAAATATAATTTGATCTTAATTTTTAAAGAATATATAATCTTTAACATGAAGATCATGAATATAAAAATAAAAAATAGTTGAAAACTAGAAGTAATAATTATATTAAAAAAATATTTGGACCGTTAGTTATAATTGTATTTAGATATACCAACTATTTGCATCGATCTTTAAGATGGATGCTTTATACCTCTAGACCGCGGTCTAGTCCGCATGAAACAATTTTTCTTATTTAAATAAGGGTGTAGTTTCTATAAGGTTGCAACCTTAAAAAATCCAATTAAGATGCACCTCCAAATTTTATCATAATATGTAATTTTGGTGTAAAAAATTCTTAGGATTATCTAAAAATCAATTTTAATATCTAATTATAAAATTCTGAACTCCAAAAATAGTTAAAATCAAATAGATTTGTAATTATATGAAAATCTTGAAAATTGACGGTTTAGATAATGTGTTGTAAAATGCATTATTTCTAGGACGAAATTTCTTTTTTTTTTTCATATTCATACATCCTGATGTCGAGATGATTAATTAGAGGATTTTTAAATATTAAAACAACATTTTCCAATGGATTTTTGAGGTGACCTTATATAAACTTTTTCTTTTAAATTAGGGGAAAGTTTATATAGAGCCTAGGCTCTAATTCTAAACAATCAAATTAGAGCCTACCTCAAAACTTTCACTATAAGAGGTTGTTTTGATGCCCAAATATCATCAAATTGATTATCTTGACATCAACATACATGTACATGAAAAAAAAATAGATTTCAAGTTTTGGAAATAGTGCATCTTTGTAACGTATTTGTTTACTGTCAATTTTCAAGATTTCCAAGTTTTCATGGATTTGTTCGATCTATATTATTTTTGAAGCTTTAAATTTTATAACTAAAAATGAAAATATAATTTAAGACTATCACAAAATATTTCAATATTAAGACCATATTTCTCAACACCAATGGTTTAAAAAAAGGATCGGTGACCTGGATCGAGCATCTCAAAAACCGATCCGGATCGGCAAATCGACGATCCTGATCGGGAATCGGCTGAATCGGTCGGATTAAAGCTTCAAAAAAATCCGAAAAAATTATTAAAATTCATTATAAATGTTGTGTTTTAGGAATCCAATAAAAAATGAGGGTACTACATTATTAACTTTCATTTTTTTTATCAATTTGTGAATATTGAGATGTTCTTTCCCTGTATAAATTTTTTTTAACTATTAAACTTGCATCACATAAAAGAAAAATCATAGAATTATCATGGATAAAATATATAATTATATATGGACTATTATAAAGAGTAGACTAATCAATGAAAGAATGGCCATTAAAATCTCGTTTTGGCGAAAAACCCTAACCCGCTAAAAAAACCCAAACTATTACAGCCTAACTAACTATAATCCAAAATTATTACAACCTCACTAATTATAATATTATATACTGAAATTATAATTATTAGTTTACATTTTATAATTATTTTATTAGACAAATAATAACAAATTAAAAATATTTTATAATATTATCTAATTTAAAATGTATTATTGACAACTGTAAGAAAAATAGTACATTACATGATTTATAATGTAAAAATTCATAAATAAAATAAAAGATTTGGTTATCAATGTAAAAATTAATAAAATGCGTACAAATTTTGGAAATAACACTTCAATTTTTCAAAAATTTATTTTTTGTAGGTTTCTATAATAAATTTAGTAAAAGAGATTGTTAGTAGAAAGATGGAGATTTCAAATAGAATAAATTTTTTTTTTTTATACCTTTCATATTATTTACAAAAATAATTATACCACTATATACCACAAAAATTAACGGTTATATAAAAAATTATTTTTTTTATTTTTCATTTTTTTATGTCTTTTATATTATTTACAAAAATATTTATATTTATACCAACCACTATATACACAACAAAAATATTTATATTTATACCAACTACTATATATACAACAAAAATGCAACACACCCAAAGGGATTCGAAGACAACAAAAATATTTATACCAACCACTATATACACAACAAAAATACAACACATGCCCAAGGGGATTCGACCTTGGGACCTCAAGTAAAAAATTCAAAGTCACAACCATCAAGCCACCGAACTACATGTGATTAT